CACCTCTGGCAGTCCCCACAGCGGGCTTGGGGTCTCCCCAGCAGCCCTGGGAGAGGCACAGGGAGCTGCTGTGGGGGGGTGGCACAGTGGGGGTAGCACAGCAGGGATGGCAGGGTGGGTGGCACAGGGAGGATGTCATGAGGGGATGTCCTGGGGGATGGCACAGGGGGAGTGCTGTATGTGGGACAGGGGTGATGGCACAGGGGTGATGGCATAGGATGATGGATGTCACGTGAGGGATGGCACAAGGAGGGTGTCCCATGCAGGATGGCACTGATGGGATGGCACTGGTGGGTGGCACGTACAGGATGGCACTGTGGGATGGCACATGGGGGATGTAGTGGGGGGGATGGCACATGTGGGATGTCACATGCAGGATAGCGCTGGTGGGGTGGCACATGGATGATGTACAGGGGTGATGTCACCTGTGTGACAGCCCAGGGGTGACACCACACAGGCAGAGCCATCCAGGTGATGGCCCAGGGGTGCTGCCAGGTGGGTGATCCCATGAGGGTCCTGCCACACTGAGGTGCCCCCATCCCCGTCCTGGGGAAGGATGTGTGGGGCCACTGTGGGATGCCGAGGTCCAGCCCCCCTCGGTGCCCATGCTGGGGGCTCTGAGGGGCTGACAGGGCTGTGCCCTCTGCCTCCCCAGTTCTGCAGCAGCAATGGCTTGGAATACATCGTGGGCCGGGTCTGGATTGGCTTCTGGATGATCCTGCTGGTGCTGGTGGTGGTGGCCTTCGAGGGCAGTTTCCTGGTGCGCTTCCTGTCCCGCTACACCCAGGAGATCTTCTCCTTCCTCATCTCCCTCATTTTCATCTTTGAGACCTTCTCCAAGCTGGTCACGGTGAGGGGCACGGGGGGTCCCACAGTGGGGAAGGTGGGAGGGGGGCTGCAGGTTGTGGTTATCACCTGGGTTTCCATAGAAACAGTGGGATGCAGGTGAGGGACAGAGCCCATCTCCTGGTGTTTTCTCCCCTTTTCCACGTGTTCCCCAGCTCATGAGGTCCCTTCCAACCCTAACTGTTCTGTGGTTCATGCATCTCTCCGCAGGGGGATTTTGGGGTAGGGAGGTGAACCCCACATAGATGTCCCACCTGGGCTGCACCAAACATGGTCCTTGCCCAGCAACTGCCTGAAGAGCCCCAGTTCCTCCCCCCATCCCTGGCTTAGACCCCTCCAGGCTGCTTGGTTGCACTGGGATGGTGTCACCCCGTGCACTGGGTGCCCACAGGGACATTGCTGGTGCTGGGGAGGTGACAGGCAGGACATGTGGGTGTGTGTCATATCCAGGTGCCCCCGTGCACCCCACGACAAGCTCAGCACTGCCCTGAACACCCCGGGTGACCCACACTCTGCAGTGGGGACACACTTGTCTGACCCCACCGTGCCACTGGCCTTGTTTCTGAAGAACCACAGAGAAAACCGACCCTAAATATCCCCCCTGCTCAGCACGTGCCGGGCTCCAGCCTCGCCCATCCCCCTGGCACACACCCTGCACCCACCAGGATGGTCCTGCAGGGCTCCCAGCATGGCAGGGGGGGTGCAGGGGGATCCCCCATCCCCATCCTCGCTCACTTCCTCCCCTTCCCTCCCCAGATTTTCAAGCAACACCCTCTGAAGCGGGACTACAACGTGAAGGCTGACTTTGACCCCTCGGAGCCGGAGCCCAACACGGCCCTGCTGTCCCTCATCCTCATGGCTGGCACCTTCTTCCTGGCCTTCTTCCTCCGCAAGTTCAAGAACAGCGCCTTCCTGCCGGGCAAGGTGAGCACAGGGAGGACACGGTGCTGTCCCCCCTCCCCACTGCAAAACAGGGGCTCAGCGGCTGAGACCGGGCAAACTCATTGCCTGTTCCTGCAGAGGACAGGGTGGGGGAGAACCCCTGGGCTGGGGGGTCACACAGAGGCTTTAATGTGGTCACCGTGTCCCCACAGGTCCGGCGCTTGATCGGGGACTTTGGGGTGCCCATTTCCATCTTCATCATGGCCCTGGCTGACTTCTTCATCAAGGACACGTACACACAGGTCTGTGAGGGCAGGGCTGGGGGGAAACAGGCACGGGGATGTGGAGCTGGGTGCTCATCCCTGTGTCCCACCCCCTCACTCCCCGCTTTGCTCCCATCCAGAAACTGAGCGTCCCTAAAGGGCTGGAGGTCACCAACTCGACCGCCCGGGGCTGGTTCATCAACCCCATGGGGCTGCACGAAAAATTCCCCATCTGGATGATGTTCGCCTCCGTGGTGCCCGCCCTCCTGGTCTTCATCCTCATCTTCCTCGAGACGCAGATCACCACGTGAGGATGGGGGATACGGGGAGGGGAGGGCTGCGGGGTGCCCGGTGGGACGGGCTGGAGGGGACCTCCCTGGGGTGCTGTGTCACCAACTCGTCCCCTGTGTCCCCGCAGCCTCATCGTCAGCAAGCCCGAGAGGAAGCTGGTGAAGGGCAGTGGCTTCCACCTGGACCTGCTGCTGATCGTGGCCATGGGGGGGCTGGCGGCCCTTTTCGGGATGCCCTGGCTCAGTGCCACCACCGTGCGCACCATCACCCACGCCAACGCCCTCACCGTCATGAGCAAGGCCTCCTCTCCCGGAGAGAAATCCCAGATCCTGGAGGTCAAGGAGCAGCGCATCAGCAGCTTGCTGGTGGCCGTGCTCATCGGTGAGCTGGGGAGGTGCCCCCCGCATGGCAGGTGAGGGTTGGAGGTCCCCCAGGAGCTCTCCCCAACCTCTCCTTCTCCACCGCAGGCGTCTCCATCCTCATGGAGCCCATCCTGAAGTACATCCCGCTGGCCGTGCTCTTCGGCATCTTCCTCTACATGGGGGTCACCTCCCTCTTTGGCATCCAGCTCTTCGACCGCATCCTGCTCCTGCTGATGCCCCCCAAGTACCACCCTGACGAGCCCTATGTCACCAGGGTGAGTGAGCCCTGTGTCACCCCCATGGGTGGCAGCGGGTTTGGGGGTGTCCTGTGCTGCAGCACCCCTGAAATTGCTTGAGGCTCCCCAAAGAGCCTCCTCCTCCCGTGCTGACCTTCACTGGGCTCTTCAGGCCACTGGTCCTGCCCCCACCCCAGCACCCACCACCCCAGGAAGGGTATGGGATGCTGTCCCTGACCTCAGTCCTGGGCTTCTCATCCCACAGGTGAAGACTTGGCGGATGCACCTCTTCACCTTCACCCAGATCATCGTCCTTGTGCTGCTGTGGGTGGTGAAGTCCACCCCGGCCTCGCTGGCGCTGCCCTTCGTCCTCATCCTCACCGTGCCCCTGCGGCGCTTCCTGCTCCCCAGGATCTTCCGGGACATCGAGCTCAAATGTGTACGTAGCCCCAGCACATCCTGGGAGCCACCTCTGTGCTGTCCCTGTCCCTGTGCTGGTTCTGGTGTCCATCCCCATCCCTGTCCCCATCCTCATCTCCATATGTATCCCCATCACTGTCTCCAGCCCCATCTTTGTGTCTGCTCATGTCCCCGTCCTCATCATCATCCCTGTCCCCATCCCCTGCCTCATTCTCATTCCTGTCTCCATCCTCATCTCCATCTGTGTTCTCATCTCCATCCCTGTCCCCAGCTTCATCTCTGTCCCTGCCCCTGTCTCCTCATCCCCATAATCCCCATCTCACTCCTGTCCCCATCTCCATCTGTGTACCCACTCTCATTCCTGTCTCCATCCCTGTCCTCATCTGCATCCCTCATTCCCCACCGTTGTCCCCATCCTCACCCTGTCCTTGTCCCATTCCTGTCCCCATCCCCATCCCTGTCCCCAGACTCATCCCTGCCCCTATTCCCATACCCATCCCAGCCCCTACCTTGTTCCATCCCTGACACTGTCCCTGTCCTCAGTCCTACCCCCAATCCTGACCCCTCCCCATCCTCATCCTTTTCTCCAACCCTGACCCCATCCCCTCTCTGTCCCCATTCCCATCCTTCTCTCCACCCATGTCCCCATCTCTACCACTGTCCCCTTCCTTATATTCATCCCTATCCCCATTCCCTGTCCCTATTCCCCTCCCCTGTCCCTATCCCACTCCTCATCTCCATCCCAGTTCCCATTCCCTGGCCCTATCCCCGTCCCTCTCCTGATCTCCCTCCCTATCCCCATCCCCTGTCCCTATTCCCCTCCCCTGTCCATATCCCACTCCTGATCTCCATCCCTGTCCCCATCCCCTGTCCCTATTCCCCTCCCCTGTCCATATCCCACTCCCCATCTCTCTATCCTCCTCCCGTCCCCTGATTTCCCATCCCCTGTCCATATCTCCATTCCTATCTACCATCCCCTATCACCCCATCCCATCGTCCCTAATTCCCATCTCCCTGTCCATATCCCACTCCTCATCTCCATCCGCATCCCCATCCCCTGTCCCCCAATTCCCATATCCCCTGTCCCTATTCCCCTCCCCTGTCCATATCCCACTCCTGATCTCCCTCCCTATCCCATTCCCAGTCCCTATTCCCCTCCCCTGTCCATATCCCACTCCTCATCTCCATCCCTGTTCCCATTCCCTGGCCCTATCCCTGTCCCTCTCCTGATCTCCCTCCCTGTCCCCATCCCCTGTCCCTATTCCCCTCCCCTGTCCATATCCCACTCCTGAACTCCACCCCATCCCCATCCCTGTCCCCCTCACTCCCTCTCCTCTCTCCAGCTGGACGCCGATGACGCCGTGGTGACCTTCGAGGAGGAGGAGGGCACAGACGTGTACAACGAGGTGCAGATGCCCAGTTAAGGGCTGGAACCCCAGCCCCCCAACGCCCC